GAATAATGTTGTATTACATGAGACTTGTATTAGTAGTATGCACCTCGTTTAACTCTTAAATTACACTCTTTTTTTTTTTTTTTAATAGTCGATGTTATTGACGGTGATTTATTACTCTACAACTATTATACTGTCGTTTGTATTTAAATAGATTTATAATTTTTATCTTAGTTGTACAGTTATAGTTGGTCAGTTTAGTCAACTATAAAAAAACGTTTTTAATAAGTCTATGGATCGTTGCGCTGAGGTTTGTATAATTTTTACAAATTAACATCTGAAATCCTCAACATTTGTAGTTAATGTTGTTAAGTGAAAAATATTGTTATTAACAAACCATTAAAATTTAGTTTGATAAATTTTAATAAAATTTACTGGCCCGTGTACTGTGATAGGGTAGTACTGAACTGGTTTCCTACCTAACTAATTAGGTAGTTTTTTATGAATATTATATTAAAGGTAAATCTGTCAATCCGGCTTTTTCGTTATAAACTACATAACATAATATATTTCTAATAAAAAAAAAAAACACTAGAAAAATAAACTGCATTTATGCAAAACTGTTATTACTATATTCAATATCATCCATTTAACGCTTATTATAATATCATGTAAATATAATAGTTGAATGAGTACAGTTTTATTAGTGTATTTCATTTATTCTTATTATTACTGTTGTTCACTGAACAAATAAATTTTTACATTTCTAGGTTTTTTTTAATCGGTAAAAAAATAAAATGGAAATTTATCCGTTTAGAAAACAACAGTAATAATAAAGATACATGAAATAAAACTGATAAAAATATATACGCATCAAATTAAAGTTTTAAGAAGGAAACAACAAATACGGTAACGACAAATTATTTTAGAACGTCTTAGAAATTTACCAAGCAATAACATGCGAGGTGTAAAACAATATTATTCTAATCGTGCGCTTCGGCTTGATGCGACTCGAGAATATATTTCCGAGTAAACGTTTGTCTACACTTACGACATTTGTACGGTCTCTCGCCGGTATGCACGCGCTCGTGTCTCTTGAGGGTTTCTTTCTTGGCGAACAGTTGTCCGCACACGTAACATTTGAACGGTTTCTCACCGGCATGCAAGCGCTCGTGTGCTATGAGGTTGCCGTTTCGGCTAAAACACTTTCCGCAGACCACGCACTCGAATGGTTTCTCGCCGGTGTGCACGCGCTCGTGGTTTCTCAAATCGCATTTTGTGATACACGAATGTGGGCATAAGCTGCACTTATATGGTCTCTGGCTGGCATGTACGGCTTTGTGTTCCTTGAGCGAAGCGCTGCAGCTAAACATTCTCTTGCACACGCGACACCAATACTGTTTCTCACCCGTACGGACGGGTTGCGCTTCACACGAATACATTTCGTGTTTCTTGAGCGTTGCTTTCAGTGTGAACGTTTTTTCGCACAAATAGCATTTGAACGGTTTCTCGCCAGCGTGAGAGCGCTCGTGTGCCGCCAGGTGATCTTTTCTGTTAAACCTTCTTTCGCAGACTACACACTCGAATGGTTTCTCACCGGTGTGCAGAAACTTGTGTGCCTTGAGCGCACCGCTGCAACTGTACGTTTTCTTGCACACATTACACCTATAAGGTTTTCCTTCCGTATGTACCCGTTCGTGTATTACCAGCTCGGCTTTACATGAAAACGTTTTCACGCAAACGTCGCATTCGTGCAGTCCGCTTTCTTTTTTAGTGTTTACGCACCAGCCGTTTGATTCCTTTTTGATACTGATCACGATGCCCGTCGCCGCCATTTCACTAAAACAAGTCGCACAATAATAATTATCCACACGGCAATTTAAAATCTTAAAATTCTGTTAGTTACTTAGAAAATGTCAAAACGCTTTTACCGACATGATTGATTGCTATATTATACAATTTTCAAAGGCATGCCTTGTTCGATTTGTTTTCTATTGTAAAAAAAAAAAGAAAAGTTTAATGGTAAAAATGATTAAAAAAAAAAAAAAAACTTTAACGGTGAATTTACACATTTTTAAAATATCAATCAGTAAATGAGATTATTGTTTTTAAGCGATGGTTTCGCTGTCCAGAACGGGTTGTCAGTCTGTCGCCATTAAAGATAAATGAGATAAAATGATTACATTGACATAGAAAATCTAAATGGAATTGCAAATTCTGTGTAGCGATATATAGGTATGATGGTTTGATGATAATGTCGTAATTAAATATACTATTAAATATCAATCTGTATTTATTTTTTTAAATATTATTTTAATATTATCGGATAAATTGATTAGGTATTTTTATCAAAGTTTCTAACAATTATTTAAATACCTTGAAGCTATAACTTTATGAAACATATTATATGCACTCTTCAGTTCAGTAACCCATTATAAATAGTGCAACAGTTCTAAGATAATTAAAAACTATAAAATGACAACTTGATTTTATCTAAACGAGAAACATAGCGTTAGGTGAACGCAATGATTGAAATTATCCTCACCCGTTGTGGTTTTTGACAATTTTTTTTCGAGGACCATTTCGGACTGTTGAGTTTAAATTATGTGCTTCTTGTATGTGATGAACAATTCTCCTTTTGGAAGAGAATGACTTTTGACACGTGTTGCAAGCCAATGACTGTAATTGGCCGGTCCATTCCGGTAGCAAAGGCAAATTTCTGTCAACTTCTACCACAGATTCAAACTTGCATCCATTCAAAATGTCTACCTCGCTAACACTAAAAACAATGTATACAAGTTGAGACTATGATATAGAATAAACCTAATAAAAAAAAACACAATTTACTGTAAATTTTAAATAATAAACATTCGGGGAACGCCTTCCTATCTGTCTTAACCAAATAAGCATAAATGATTTTAAATATAAAAAGAAACTTAATTAATATTATAATTTTACCTGTATGTATGCTCATCGATTCTGTTTTGAGGTTCTTTCTGTGCTGTCGAACGATTGTTATAATACGATTCAATAAAATAGTTGGGCTTTATATCTTCCTCAAAGTTGTCGCAAAATTGTGTGTCTTCTCTTTCGAGCTTTACCTTTGTCTCGTAGTTACAATCATCGGTTTCATTTGTTTCGTATTTAAGTTCCATCTCCTTCCACGTTTCATTAATACTAAAAATATATATCTATATTTATTACCAAAACCGATAGCCAAATACAACATATTGATAAACAAAATATAATTGTGTAAAAAATGTAATAACATTTCAGTTATCGACCTGGCTGCATACACAGCATCATAATAAATTGCCTTGATTTGAACACAATGTGTTAATTTTTGTTTTAGGTTTTTTTTAAAAAACCAAATATTTTGATAGTCTATTTTGCCTTTGAGAAAACGCTTGCTTGTAATCAAAAGGAAATTAACTTAATTTGTAATATAATTTGGTGTCTGGGACAATTCACAATGAATAGTCCACATGGAATGTTAACATAATTTACACAGACCATCAACTGAAATACAAAAATGTAGTAATTTTAAATATTTTACTCTGTAAGTTTTGCGTTCAGCGGATCGTTTTCCTCATCAATTTTCAGCGCTGGCTCGTAGCAACCATCGTCCGTCACAACTATTTCATTTTTAACTATCAACTTGTTTTTCACTTCACCAACACTAAAAAAAAAGGAAATATAATTTAATTAAAAAAATTGAGAAATAAATCTATGGTGTATTATTTTATTCTGATTATATTTCAATATAAAGAAAAAAGTTTTTCGGTTCGGCTTAACAACGATGGGTATTATGTTTGGGTATTAGATTGACGGTAAGGTTGTTGCAGTCTATACTGGTTTGTGTAAGCCATTTGATACGGTAGAACATTATATTATTTGAATATCTAAGGTTAGGTCGATTAGCAATGGATCACCCTTTTATTAGGTGGTTTTTAGTAGGAAGAAAGCAATGTGTGAAAATTAGTCGGATTGGATTGACGTTTTTACCTGGTAATCGGCAAGGAGATTGTTTTGTTACTTTAGGACCATAGAAGACGATTTGTCAAAAATCTCCATTGGATACAATTGGAAAATAAAGAAAACGCAAAAACCTGTTCTACACATATCACTGTGTCAACACAAATTGTATTACATAATACCAGTGGTTGATGGTGTGAAAAGCTTCAGATTTAGTTTTGCTTTTATTTACCTTGAAAAACTCAATTGAGAGGATCGATCATTTGCACTTTCATTTGCTCGATGTTCGTTCACACTATTTTTTGATTTACTGCTCGGAACTAGACATAAAGTAAAATAATAATCATCGTTATTACTTATTAGAGCTGTGTTTTGAGATGGTATAATGTAGAAAACAATTTTAACTTTTACCTCGATCCGGAATTATTGACATGGTCGGTACCTATTATAATTATTATTATAATATATTAAATAATATCGAATGGAAATACAGATAGACGAGCATGTTAACTGTTAAAATAATAATATAATATTATAATGTTAAATTAATAATAATACTATTAAGCATTACTTTTACTTCTAAAAGTTAAAACGTCAGCAACGAAAAATAATCACTTATCACTCATCAGTTATCACAGCTGATAAGAAATACACCTGAAAACGGATTGCTACAACTTTTACCAATATCCACTTTTTCCAGTAGGAAAAATGGCGATTGGAAAAAGTGGATGTATGATAAACTGTCAGAAAGAAATGTTTACATATTTTGAAAAAAGTGTACTCGAAACAATTACCATTTTTACCCCATGACATTAATTCCTACAACGATTATGCCTGTAGAAAAAAAATGACATTGGTAAGTACCTGTTTTTCCAATTAACAATTTATTCCAACTGGTAAAACGAAATACTGTAAAAACTGACTGTTAGTATTTATTTAAATCATTATTTATTCACGTCCACATTTTCCAACATTGTTTTGTTGATTTAGGAGGAATAAGACTTTTTAGCTTTATAACAATCTCTATTATTTTTTATCTTAACGTAAAAAATAGTATAAATTTAATTAGGTTATGTCTTAGTAATTATTTAAAAACATATTATACAATGAATTTTGTAATGCATAAAAACAAATTATAACATTTTTTTTTATATGTGATGTTGTTACGACTTAAGGCCTTAACTCGAAATACGTGATGTCTGATGATAGTTCGTTTATTTCTATTTGTTTTTTTTTTTTTCAAAATTCCTTTCTCCATCAATCTACTGACTCATTTAAGCTAATGTTTGTGAAGGAGTCAGCGAGAAATATTAAAACAAAAGAATTGCAAGTGTAAAGAATAAATTTCATTGAAATTCCAGATGAAAAATGTTAATACTAATCTAAGATGTAATAAATTATATACTAGTCGGCGAAAGGATTTATTTATAGTAAAAAATTATCCACATTATTATCCAAATATTCAAATTAATTTTAAAATATTCCATAAGAAAAGGTATTCTGTTAGTCTTAAAATATAATTTTTTTCTATACATTTATAAAACTAAATTCGGAATACTGACAATTGCCCTACAATTTCAATTACTCAAAAAAAATATTATTGGACCCAAAATAAAATAATTATCAAAATCGTTTTAAACGTTAGAGACTTCAAATAATTTAACTAGGTCGATGATAAAATATGTGGTTTTTGTTTTCGAATATTTTCTTATTTAAGACATTGGTGTATGACTGTGACTGTTTGAACAAGCATACAAAACAATAAATCAAAACAGTAGTAGTCTTCTTATTTTAAATAAATAATACAACTTAAAACGTGTTTTCAATACGTTTTCCCGTTTAAGAAGGTGAATATACAATTATTTAGAAAAGTAATAATAAATGTTTTAAATTTTGAATGTAAAAATAATTATAGTTATATTATTTATGACCGGATGTAGACAATTTTAAGTGTTCTAAGACCAATTGTAGGAACACGGATAAAAATAAAATACAATACAATACAAAAAATATATGTATTCATAATAATTTATAGTTTTTTTAATATTATATTATAAATAATAATATATTATAAATATATTTACAATTTTCTCATTTCTGTAAATTCTACCCAAAGGTATACAACGCATTTTTATGTGTATTATTATGACTCATATGTTTTTTTCATACCGACACGAATTTAAGGTAAATTAAACGCAAAAAAAAATGTGTGTTGTTTACGCATTTATAACGTACAACGAAAATTCAGAGCATAAAATAAAACCTCACACATTATGGTTTGGAAACCCAAATTTGGGCCTCAAAGAGCAATCCAGTGATCGCAGATAAAAAAAACAAATATCGATAAGAGCATTGTACCTAATGTCAATTATGTGCTTAAAAATGAATTTTTAGTTTAAGGGTGAATATGATTTGGGTTACATTTGTTACATTTTTGTTTTAAATGTATTCACTTTTTGTTATCTCTGGTAAAACCAGTTGACATTGACTATTTAATAAAAAATTTCAATTAAACAATTTTTAGTCGTTAGATAAAACCACTCTTCTATATTGGAATCTATAATGTAAGAGTGACTATAGAATGAAATGGTTCATTTATCAACGAAAAACAAGTGAATGCTCACAGTTTGTTAGTTGTACATTCACCGATTACATACTTAACATACAACAATACATTTAAATGACAATTACACTTGAGGTTTTACACATTAAAGAGCTTGCTTCCACAAGAAGTTGAACAAAAGTAAAAAAGAAAGCAGAGTTTAAACATTATGTTATCTTTATAAATTGGTCACAAAAATAAAATAGGTTCTCTCTATATAAATGTATTGTTATAATAACCCATATATCGTTGTTAACAATATAATGAAATATTTTCATTGTCTATTTACTCACTCACACATAGCGACCTGGAAATTGACTACAGTAAAAGTGTAATTTTCCCCTTATTTGGGGGGGTTTTCCTTAATATAAAATAAGTTTGATCACAGTTTTTTTTTTTTTTTTGGGAAAATTGTACAATATGTTATAGTTCCATTCTAGATAATATACCTTCGGTCTAATTTTCCCGACTTAAATCCCTAAAGCTTTGCTTCGAAAAGTGAAATATAGAAAAAAATACTATCTTTTCTATTGGAAACTGTTTAAATTCCACAAAAATTTGGAATTTATTTGACTTGTTAGTTGTTAAACCTTTAAATTGCACCAAACAAGTTTTAAAAACATTCAGCCTTTTTCCCAGGAGGAAGGAGGGTTGTTGAAATTTTGGGGTTCACCGTGTGTAATTTTGTTGGTAACCCTTTATACTAAAAATGCTAAAGTTATAATATTTTCGAAAAGTATACAATTTCGGCACTTGTGCACACATGAGAATGTTTTAGTCATTTTTTTTTTTTTTTTTTGCCATCCCTTAATGTTTATAAATTTTAAGCAAAAAAATACATCGATCGAGCGACAGAAACAATATATAAAATTGTCGATGTTCGAATTACAATTTTTTTTTATTTTGTGCACATCTAAGTGTTACTTTTAATAGTCCGTAAAACAAATAGTAGCCTAAGCTTAAGTATGGCTATCGACGGATATTCTCAAAGGAAAAATCCATTACAAAATGGTGAAAAATTTAAATCACATTGTATAGAAACAAGCTTGAGTGGGGTATTATATTACTTGGATGACATCCAAGTGGGAGAAACCTCAAGTCATGTAAATAGTGTAAATATACAATAGTTCACGATAATAATATGATCACCCTGTATTCAATTAATAAAAAATATATATATAATTTTAAATCGCTTCGTAATTATCACGTGTTATAGATTACATTTTGATAATTAAGCGCTGACTTGTATTATATTAAATTAACTTTTAAGCAAAGCATATTTGTTTTGAAAAATAGTGGGATTAATTAATCTTTTTTCTTTATTTGTAGTTTTAAGAAATAAAATTAAACTTAAAATAGAGGTTACCAAGATATACTGTATTTATTGTGTAAATCTATTTGATCTATGAAAATTGCTTTTATATGTAATCGAACAAAAAAATACTGTGGAATATCGAAAACAACAATTCGCATAAAGTTATAAAAACTAATAATACCGACCTATATGGAAAAAAAGTTGTTTTTCAGTGTAATAATTTCGCATATGATAAATTTGTACAAATAAGAACAGTTACAACGACAACAACAGCAGAAAACACAATAACAATTTCGTTTTAACAGCAATTGAATAGATGTTTCAATTGAAACGCTCGGTAAAATATCCGTTTATATTTCACTTTGCCAATTGAGAACAATTTAAAAAACAACCGGCTAGGTTAGGGGTTGATGCAATGGTTGAAATTATTATTATACTTGCTGGAATTCGCCAAAAAAAACTAACTATACAAAGGCTTTGTTACGATATTCATATGAATATGTATATATGAGAGTTTTTATACTGAAGATTACAAAATTTCCTTGACACATTTCCTAGCGTAGGTATAACACATTGTATAGGTGTTTATATACATGCACATTTCTGTTTTGAAAACTATTTAAGGGTTTTTAAGGGTTTCGTATGTCACTAAAAAGCGTTATGATACAAATAGATATTTTGAAGTTAAAATAATACATTGACAATCTTGATTGAACGTGTATTGGAAGTAGCATGCTTACTTATTAGACACTGAAGAAAATGCTCAGAATTTATTGTAGCCAAAAACTGTTGTAAAATTTATAAGTTTGATTCCAGTGAATATGTTATGACCCATCTCAAGGGGGTTGAAGTGGCCTGTTTGTTGGACATTTTAGAACAACTCAGGATGGTTAGATATCAATTATGTAAAAATATTAGACTAAATCGGCCACTTTTCTGGGTTAATGTAGAAATCGACTAATGATATTTCATTTAAAATTGTGTTTAAGTCCTATTTTAAAATGAACTAATGAATGAATAAGTGTGAATTTCGGACGGCTGTGGCTGTATAATAATTAGCAGTTAAATTTAAGATTTAGTGAGTGCCGAAGCTTTAAAGTCCACGATGAGTAGCGTACATCCGCCCATGTTTATGACAATGAATTCGCGAAAAATGATTTCAAAATGTAATCAAACAAGAGATAAGTAATTTAAAAAAGCAGTAAAATATTTAAATGGAAAAAATGACAATAGATAAATTGTCATAAAAGTTATATTACTAATTATGTAATTTTCCAAAGTATGAAAATATCCAGAAGACAAATTCGTCTTTAATTGAAGATTTAGACATAGTGGTTGAATACAAACTATTATTCTATTTTACTACAAGAACAGTTTACCGATAAATTGTAGCACATTTTTTTTTTAAATGTCAATTACTTTGAAAACAACCGAAAATTAACTACAGTTTTAAATAATGTTAAACATCTCTAATTTTCGAATAAAGAGAAAAACGCGGGCTGTATTTAACTAAGTCCCTAATAAATTTATTAGATGCAAGTTTTTTTTGTAATTTAAATTTGGTTCAATTTTAGCGTGTGACACATACATTTTAAAATTATTTAACTCAATGAATTTAGACTTTTGAGCGTAGAAGCGGTTTTTAACAAATATTAAGGCGACAATGAGAAATTGTCCGTTATGGCAAATCATCACATTATAATATTATGTTTAATATTTTTTTTATAACCGTGAAACTATGAGTTTCTGACTTCTACTATTAGTATTAAGTACGAATGGTGCTCAATTTAAGTTCGGGGAATCTATGGATA